GTCCCGACGACCAATTGACTGGAAGCCAGACGATATGGTATATGTCTGCAAAGGAGCATGGCGTACTGACCGCCCACATGATGGATTGGACAACCCCTATATGGGACCATATCGGGTTGTCAAACAGATCAATGAGAACGCCTTTGAGATTGACTTACCCCCTGGGATAAACGCTCATCGGGTCATCAATGCAAGCCGCTTAGTACGGTCACCAAATGACCCTGTCCCAGGTCAGGTGATCCCTTCACCGCCGCTCATCAATGTGGATGGGGTTCCTGAGTGGGAAGTTAACAAGATTCTGTCCTTCCGCCTAACCCGGGGCAAGCTGGAGTACCAGGCTGAATGGACAGGTCATGATCCTTACCCAGTGTGGTACCCAGCAGCTAACTTTAGAAACTCGGCTGTACGCGTCAAAGAGTTCCATGACACAAATCCCAAGGCGCCAGGTCCCCCTCAAAGGTTACAGCAATGGATAGAGGCTGCTGCTGATGATCAGAACCTAACTGATCTTGAGGAAGACAACCTACCTGTAAAAGGCTCTGCACAAGGAGTAAAAAGAACTCAGAAGAAATCATCATCATAAACTGACTTTAATAAAGGGGGGAGTAGTGTGACGGCCTGCACAGACCTTTCCACATGACAAGTGGATACTTCTTAATAGGGGAAGGATCTGACCAGAGGATCCCTTTAAAGGGGCAACCTCCCACTGTACCTATCTCTTTCTCTCTTCCTTTCCTCTCTAGTCTTGATATTCTCGTCAATAGAGTAATAGCTGCTTGCTGCTGGCCATGTCCCAGCTCCTCAGTACGCTCGCCGTGACAAGGTCGAGAGACCGTGGTATTATGCTCTCTAGCAGTGTTGATAATGTCGGTGACGGTTTGAGGCCGATCTAGATGGAACGCGCTCGCGACATCGTCGCGCGTTGCGCCTGCCGCCATGGCAGCCACAATAGCTGCACGAGCTTCAAAATTTAAATACCTGGTTTGGCCCGCGATTTGCGGTCAGAATTGTACTAACCTTTTATAAATCCATCGTTTTAGTGTTGAGTAAATGAAAGGTGAAGAAGGAAGGGGGTCGCGAGCGCATAGGCGCGTTTTGAAACTAGCGTGGTGGATGCTCGGAGAGGGTCAGTGTACCATACGTAAAAAAGATATAAAGTAAAAGAATAAAAAGCGATAAAGAAGATTTTTAAAAATAAAAATAAAAAGATATACTAAAGTAAAAAAAGATAAGAACAAGTACATTATTATTTAGATAAAAGTTTAAGTGTTTATTATAAAAAAACCTTAATTACAATATAAGTTAAAGGTTAAGATTAAGTATGTAACAAGCATTAATAACTTAATTCAAGCGTTTATTAAACCCGAAGGCGAAAACTAAAATATAATGCTATCATTTAAGCTACTTTAGCTTTAAAATATAAATATAATTATTAACGTTTGATAGTTGTCACGGCGAGCGTACTAGGGAGCTGGGACATGGCCTGCAGCAAGCAGCTATTACTCTATTAACAAGAATATCAAGACTAGAGAGGAAAGAAAGAGAGAGAGAGAGAGATACAGCGGGAGGTTGCCCCTTTAAGGGGATCCTCTGGTCAGATCCTTCCCTTATTGGGAAGTATCGGCTTGTCGTGTAGGAAGGTCCGTGCAGGCCGTCGCAGGGCTATTCTTGGCCGTCCACCAGTGGATATAGCTTATCTCGAAGTTGTAGCCCTGACTTGTATTGTGGTTGGTGGATAGAGGAGCTCTACGTCAAGTGTAGCGTCGGAGTGATATTGCGTGCTTCACCCAGCGCAATGCGTGCTCCCGCGCAACTCGCTGATCTAACTCCAATTCAAACCCCACCTTGTACACATGGATATAGGACTATATTGATCTCGTTTGTGGCTCAGTAAGGCTATTAACATGAGGTCCACGGCAATACATCTACTATTCTTGGATTATCCTCCAATACCTGGTGGCATTAAAGAGGATATAGAGTATTTCGAGTGCTGCTGTACTCAGCAAATTTCCATCTACTTAAGCACGTATATCTGTAGTTCTTGACGATTCCTGATATCTCTGGCACACCCACTTACAGATGGGGTCGTTCTTGATCATTTCCCCTCCGTCGCCATCTTGAACCATATATCGTGACGAAAATCTGAAAGTCTTTGGACCAATGCCATGCGTACTGCATATCATTCACCCACAAGTCCCCAATGGGGCCAATACGCTATTGCTCGGCTTGAGTATATGACTGGCCAATTCGCCTCGAGCCGCAGCTCACCCTGGTGCCTCGCTAGGAGTCTACCAACCGGCTCTTACTCATCTCATATACTCTAAATCAGTACAACTCAAATATGACTTCCAGCAAACGTGAGCCTGCGGCAACCGCGCATGACCTCCCAGTACCGATCTCCAGAGATGGGGAATCATCCCTCTCAGATGAGGAAGTAGGGGATGTCTACAAGGCCCTCAAGAAACAAGTTATGCGAAAGGTAGACTTGTGGCTCGTGGGTTTCTACTCCCTGGTGTACATATTCCGGGTTATCGACTTAGCCAACTACTCTAACGCGGCCATCATCAACATCGAGAATGGCACCGGCATCAAGAAACAGCTCAACCTCAACCCGGCCCAGTGGGCGTGGACGCTGTCCATCTTCTCTTACAGCTATCTGTTCTTCGAGCCTACGAACACAGTCCTCCTGAAGGCTTTCAAACCATTGCGGTGGATGTTCATTTTGATCTTGTTATGGGTAAGTATGTTTGTTTGTTTTGTATTTAACGTGGGGGTAGCTCCTCAGTAGTGCAAACCACGCCTCCCAGAGCCTCTGCATCGCAGGGTTGTGGAGGTCTCAAGATAATAAGTACAGTCAGACCCGCTCACGGGCCCATCCCCGTTGTTGCGGCGGTATGACCTTGGGGTCATCCATCTGGTCCTTCAAGGAAGGCTATCTATCAGGGGCAGATTGTTGAAAAGAACTTGCTCTTCTCCACGAATTTTGCCCATTCTGTGCTCCTCTCCCCTAAGTATTGTAAACAAGCTGCCCTAGGCGAATGCCTAGGCAGTAGCCGATTTTTCCCCAGCCTCTTACAAAAGAAAATGTGTTGTGGTGTTTTCTTCTCACCACAGCTGCAGTGATCATTTGAATCTGTGTGCCCAAAGCGTTCATGGTATCTGGCAAAGTCGCCATGTCCAGATCTGGCCGCTAGAAGTCTGTGTAAAGTACTCCTCTTAAAAGATATAAGGTCTCTTTCAGTTACTGCATGTGAGTATACTTCTTGATACCTAGATTCTGATTGGTCTTTCCACCATTGGTTGAACTCTTTCTTGCCCTGTCTTTTGAGATCTCTCTTGACCCAAGAGATTGTAGGAAGATTTGTTGTGTCTGTTTCCAGCATGGCACCCTCTTTTGCTAGTGTGTCGGCAGCTTCGTTGCCATCAATATCTCTGTGTCCAGGAATCCATTTGACGGTCACTCCAGGAGTGTGTGCTGTGGCAAGTTCTTGAAATCGTAGAAAAATGTTTTGTGATGTCTCGGGTGGAGTCCCATTGAGCCCATCTACCACTGACGTGTTGTCCAGGCAGACATATAGCTGTTTTCCGTGTCCAATTGCCCTGGCTGCTGCAAGACCTTGGAGAGCACCATGGACTTCAGCATCTACTACTTCTGCTTGTAGAAGTCTGCCCCTTCCCCGGTATACTTCTTGTGTAGTGCCGCCTTTCCTGATGGTATAACCCCATCCAGTGCGGATTGTGCCTTGGTCATCCAACTGTGATCCATCTGAGTAGATGACAAGGTCAGTGTTCACGTTTCTCTCTTGTAACCATTGCTTGAAGAGCTCTGTTTCTTTGTCTTTGTCTTTGCGGATTGGGCGCTTCCTCCATGATGGCCTGGTAAGTATTGGTCTCTGGAAGTCAGGGACTAGCTGGAAGCTTCTTTGTAGCCTTGTTGGATCCTTGCGAGCTTGTATTTGGAGCCTGCCAACCAGAGGGTGTCTCTGATCTATTCGTCCTAGTCGGAGGCCGTGACGTCGTCTTATTGACTCTGCAAGAACTCCTGCTGGGGGAATCTGCGATTCAAAGTGTAAGATATGTCCAGGGTGTGTTTTCCAGACTGGCAAGATAGCCCTGATCGCCGTTCGTAGTACGGCATCTATTGTTCCAAGAAGCCCCTTAATGCGACATGCTGATGTCTCACCTAAGCTCCCAGTTTTCTCGATTCCTGGGTACCAGGCCTCCAGGCCATGTGTGAGAATAGGAATAACACAAGCTTTCACAGCCCTCTTGGTTGACTTTACTGGAAGTCCTTTGACTGTGTTGCATAGTCCTCGAAGGTGATTTGCTACCCTACTAGCTTTCTTGGCCCAGTGAGAAACATGGTCTTTGAAGTTTAGTTTCCTATCCAGAAGGACACCTAGCCATCGCATGGAATGCTTAGCTGTTTTGTTCATTGTTCCGTGGCAAACTGGGGGATTGTCTGAGTTCTTTTTCCGTGAGAAGTGCATGATCTCGGTTTTGTCGGGATCAAATTCAATAGCATTGTTATGTCCCCATTGGTTGAGCAAATGAAGGTTTTCAGAAGCCTCTGCAGCTGTTTCTTTAAGGTTCTTTCCAATGCAGAGTGTTGCTAGATCATCTGCATATCCAAAGCGTCTTCTTTTCATGCCAAGTCGGGCACAGATTGGCTCTGTATACAGCATGTAGAGGATTGGAGAGACTGGTGAGCCTTGTGGGAGCCCACAAGTGAGAGCTTTTATATCGGTCACAGTACCTTCAAACCGAACTCTTGCGGACCGCTCGGACATGAACGACTGGACCCATCTTATGAGAAGTTATGGGTAAGTAGCGGAACCCATACCCTCCGTGACATCGCGACGGGTTTATTCCCCGGCTCCCTCCTAATGTTCCTCTTTCCGGCCGGGAAACCAGCCCTCCCCAAGGGAAAAGTGCGAACCAAGGCATGACAGGGCATATCCGCGAGCTCGTCCTCAGCGGTTCAGGATTTCAAGGGGATTATGTGTGCCCGCTTCGCCATCGGGCTGGCCGAAGCTGGGTTCTTCCCGGCGGTTTTCTACCACATGGCGTTCTGGTACAAACCAAGCGAGCTACCACAGCGTATCGCCATTTTCTACTCTGTCGGCCAGCTGTCGAGTGCACTCTCGGGGCTTTTGGCTTATGCTATTGGGTTTATGGTCAGTACCTAGTCTAAGCTTATTTCCAAGTAATTACTTGGATTCTGGCGAGAGGTTACCTAACACATGCTACTGCACTGAGCTCCATGCTGACAGCACCGCTCCTAGGATGGATTGGGCCATCTTGCTGGCTGGCGATGGCTATTCCTGCTAGAAGGCCTCCCAGCGATCATCCTGGCCTTCGTTGCCCTATTCGGGCTGCCCGACTACCCCGAGACATGCCACATGCTCAGCGACGAGGAACGCGACGTCCTCATCGGCCGACTTGACAAAGCGGCGCCCACAGGCAAGAGTGGGAACTGGGACTCCAAGTCTGTCAAGAAGCTCTTCAAAGACCCGACATTTTACACCTTTACCATCTACTGGATCTGCCATGGGATCGGGGGTTTTGGGGTCGGATATGCCCTGCCGACGGTCATCTACCAGTTGGGTTTCATGACGACGTCGAATTCTCAGCTGATGAATATTGTGAGTACCTAATTTCGTGCTTGGTCGCTTAATGGAGCTGACCTTGTTCGAGCCTCCATACGTCACGGGCTTCGTGTTCTTGAATACAGTGGGATACTTCCTACACAACGCGTCATCCAGCCATGGACGACAGCCGTTGCAAGTGAGTTGAACTTCCCACGCTCCTCTCCTATCCTCATCCCCTCAATCTAATGATGCTAACAACTTACCAGTTGAATCCACCATCATAGTCTGCTACATCGTCCTTTTCACCGTCTCCAACGCCGTGGTCAAGTACATATGCCTGATTGTGGCCGTCGCTTGCACAGGGTCAGCCTACCCCGTCATTTGGCCAGAGCGTATGCGCGCGTTGGATGGTATGGTGGCCTCTGGGATCGGCATCGGCTGGACGAACGCGATGGCCCAATTCGGGGGCATTGTCGGGCCTCACGTTTATAATACGGTGTTTGGGCCCTCTTACCGCGTGTCTTATGAGATTTGTCTGGCTTTCCTTGTGGTCGGGATCAGTGCGATCCTGACCTCTTGGGCACTGGTGAGGAGGAAGGACAGGGTGAGTCTGGCGGGTATCATGTAGAGCGGTTGAGTCGTTACACTCAGCCCTCATAAGTCTCCGGACCGGCACGCTCGACTGATTGGCGGCTGACGGGGGTGACGGTCTGGCCAGCCGTCGATTTGCTCGCGCCTTGAGCTCAGCCAACTACCTCGATTGACTGACAACGTACTTCTTTATCGCAGGCTTTCCCGAGCCGCTACCAAGGTCCGAGAATGGCGTCACATCCTGTCACTGCGGAAACCGAGGGCACGCTTTGCAGGGAGTAAGAGGCAGAAGAGACCACCCAAAGTGTGCTAAAGCCTGAGCTTCGACACGCGTGTGATGATGGTAAGTAATCTTGTTAGTATGGTATGGTGATGTGGTATGATATGGTGATGCGGTATAGTGGTCTATACCATACCTTACCAACAATAGCGACCTCCATACCGTGATGATCACATATTACTGCTTCCGAACATACCATAACAAACAATCCATACCGTAATAACAAGCTCCCTGTCGAAGGTGCTCGCTACAAGCAGGCCGATCACGTCTTCGTAGCTAGATGGAGCAAGTGATGTGATCCATGTGGACTTAGCCTTGTGGACTTAGCCTCTTGTGGAGAGGCTGTCGGTTTCAGTAGAGATATAATTGCTCGAGCCGGTACCCTCGCTCCCAGAAGGCTTCGCTGACACCCTCAACGACCATCCAGCCCTCGTGGTCCATACGCCAGTCCCACCGCACCGCTTCGCCGTGCATAACACCAGATACATAGCAGTCGCCTACAAGACGGGCTTGCACGCAGCTCTCGCAGCCGTGCAAGCCGTCCGGATCAGGCCGGCGGAGGTGGGATGCCTCGCGGAGTATAAAAGGTGTCCGCGCTCCGAGAATGATGCAGACCATATCACCTACCTCTACCCTGACGGGGCTGATTTGCATCTGAACTCTAGGCCCGAGACAGAGCACACCGGTGTCGAGCAGGAGCAGCCTACGGTCATCGACCCAGTCTATTGCATGATCGTCCCGCAAGAGACACCGGAGCTCCTCAGAAGCCCGCTCGAGTCCGGCTCCTCTAGCAAGTTCAGTCCAGTCTCTTTGAATGGTATTGTACCGCATTGTCTCCGAAGTGCCCCCAAACCTGTGACCGTGAGCCCCCTCCGTTCCCCATGGTTCAGCGCAATCCGCGATTCTCCCAAGCTTGATGATCTGCAAACGGAGGTGATCGGTCCTCAATAATCGCCACGGCCTCCGAGCTCTCTGGCAACAGCCTCCCGCTTCGAAGCGGTTGTATGCTCCGCCCACGGGCATGACACGTCTCGCCTTGTTCCAGTCTGGTGCCCAGCTGCATGCCGGTGTGCTCTGAATGGCATCAGAAAGGATGTCAAGACTCTCTCCCGGAACGCAATCAGAACTTTCACCTCTGCCGCTGATCGTCTCGCGCGCAAAGAGTGTATAAGCTGCATCTGGCTGCCTTGTATAGTCGATTGTGATGCCAGGGTCGTCTCTGAGAAGACCCGGCACCGCGAAGACTTTGTCAAGTGGCTCGGTAGCTCGACAGGGGCGCAGAATACGAGCTGCATCGAGCGCATTGAGGTTCTTCCAGTCTTCCTGTGAGAGTGGCACGGGCAATGACCAGACACCGGCGAGATAATGCCCAAAGTGTGAGACAAAGGCATCCCATGGTGTCTGGTGCCTTCCACACACAAACACAACTTTGCGTGCATTGACAACTTCTTGAACGACCCATACCCTATGGAACCACTCGTATTCGCGCATCATGTTCTGCGCATCGCGGCAAAAATCATCTATCATTCCTCCTCTAACCCGATTTTCCGTCGGCTCCAGGGGCCGCCGGCCGATCATCGATTCGCGGGCTTTTGTTTCGTATGGAAGTTCGACTTTATCCCAATATCGGAGACACACCACAACCTGCTCGGCTAGAGAGTAAATCCGCGACATGAAGCCGACCTGTTGGCTTCGTTCTTCGAGATTATCTTGATCGATGCAAATTGCGTCTATCCACATCGTCCTCGAGGAATCTTCCCGCCGTAAGCGTTTCAGTGTATTGTAGCAGTTCCACCGGACTTTCAAGCCACCGTGATGTGTTCGTCCGGAGGCGTCATTGTCGATAACAAGGATCCACTGCATACCCGCTAAAGCACCCCATGTGTATGACAGCGCTTCGTAAGGTTGTTGTTCGACCTCGTTGATACTAACCGTTGATAGTGTGCACTGTACTGGGTCACTATAGTGCCCGGGCAAGATCTGGAGTAGACGTATCTCGCCTTGTCGGAGCTTTTTATACTGATACAACGGCATACATCTTGCGAACAATTCCGGCCGGAACCTTTTGTCAGGCGGCTGCAACGTCGGAGATGATGGCGGCGCATGTAACATGACGGAGTTCTGCGAAGATGGCGGCCTGGTCGATACAGCGGTGTCACGATCCCGGACAGATCGAGAGCGCTTCGTCGCCGGCTTGGTATTTGTGAGCGACAATATAGCTGTCGTCAGTATGAGGGCGGGATTGGCGTTGTCGCACAATGCGGCAGCGCGCACTCGCTGTTCCCATTGCGATACGACCGCATAGTGTGCAGGCGCGAAGGGTGTCCTGTTGTTGCAATGGCAAGTAAGGTCATGGCACGGGAGCCACCTTTTATTAGACCGTTCGTCGATATCGCTCACATCCTCCATCTCGACCGGCGGGCGAAGTCTGGCAGTCCTTGTCCTAGGCATTATTCCCAAATCGACTCTACTAGAGTCGATTTGCGCACGGACCTGCACGCGGCGCAAGTGGGCGCGTGCACGGTGACCAGGGGGGTAGAGTCGATTTGAAGACGAGGGGATAGAGTCGATTTGGTTCCCAGACAAAAAATCGGCCGGCGTTGACGGTTATATAGAGAGGACGAGACGGCGAATCCGGCCGTGCTGTCGGCGTGTCGCTGCGACGATTGGAAGGGGGCTTTCTCTGTCCGTTGGGGTTAGGGGAAAGTTGGGCCTGGAGCCGGGAGGCGGGCGGGATGCCTGACTAGCGGGGCGCCGGGCTGGACAAGGGGTCAGACGGCAGGAAAATGATAGATGCAACTCGACTTTTTTTTTTCTTTGTCTCTTATTCTTTTGCTTATATAATTTATTCATGATAATCCTGTTCATTTATGTCTCACCACAGAAGATTGTTATATGCTCAGAATGTTATTATGCATGCGTAGCGAACGAGGTTAAGTCGTATTTAAAAGCTGCAAGCCATGCATTGCGAATAACGTAATAACGGCGCAAAATTATGCAAGAAGTTCAGCAGACCCCTGACATCTTCTTTAGCCAGGCGCAACTGCAAGCCGACTTCGAGTTCCCGCTATCCGAGTGCGCTGCCAACCCGCATCTGCACCCGCCATAAAGAGACGGGTTGGCATGTACGCAGTGCCCATACATCAGCCGGCAGCTGAAGAATATACAAGACCATTGCCGAGCAACGCACAGACGGACCAACCCGCAGAATCGAGGTCGGGTCACAGGCGGACAAGACACCACAGCCACAGCAGAGGACAAGGTGCCGTGGCGCACGGGCGTGGCGTGTCAGAGGTTCTTCCGCAATCGGGCTGCAAGCGGCTGGTTCGAGGTGGAGCGGCCGTCAAGCAAGCAGATCGCGGCCGCAAAAACGGATGTAGGAGCAGGCGGGAGCAGCGGCATTAATAGCACTGGCACTAACAGCAATATGTGACAGCTCATGCTAGCGGCATACGATGCCAAACTGGCAGCAGAAGAGAAGGAGCGGCGACGGAAGGTGCTGGGGCTTGGTCTGAACTGGGTTCACTGTGTAGTCGAGTCGTCAGGAGATTTCTCCCACCTTAGTGTTGGCTAAGATGCTTAGATTGATCACTGAGGTAGAGACTGTCTATCTGTTCTAGCTAGGAAATGTCCATCCTTATATATCCAATCTCTCCCTCACTGATGAGGTATCTGCTCTTGGTTCACTGTGATCCCGTGAGCCTGGATCACTGTGAGCCCGTGAGCCTGTGCCCCTGGTCACTTGATCCGTACAATCGTTATTCCGTGCGTAGTGTCCCCATTGATCCTCTACCAATGGTTTCCTGCCTGGCCTGCCGACGGGCCGCTGTACTTGTTGGTTCGTAACACTGTGCTGCTAACATTTCTAATTAGCGATTCGAGGTTAACCCTGCCCTTAACAAATAGCTCGCAGCGAAAGGTATTAGGACTGTAAGTGGTGTTATTTTGGCTTGCTCCGTCTAATCCATTCGAATTCGTTATCCAATTAATGTCTGCGCTTTAGTTAGAGGTCATTTTCTCATACGCAACACTAGGCGAAAGACATGACACGTCAATGGCGAGTTCTCCATGGCCTATAATCCCTCTTAATGTAACGTTGCTGATGCCGTCTTCGCCTCTTGTGTCACCTCCTTGATCGCTCGCTCTCAACGGACGCATATGTTTGCCAATCATATTATTATAATTAATTCCCAACCTTCGGTGACGCCTCATCCGGAAGAGACTATCAAACGGCCTGGACCTGGAGCCGAACCAGATTAGGCGCATATTCACCAGCCTGCGTTGGCGATGTAAGGCTCCATGATGTCCGTCAGCGCCCTAGGATCGTAGTTGCCAAGCTCGGACTCGAACCCCATCATGACGTTGTCCCAGTCTTCCTGTGCCATCGGGAAGCCATAGTCGAGCGAGTTCATCGGCATATCATTGGATGTATCTGGTCCGACGGTCATCTGATCGAGAGGGAAACCACCATGGGGTGCTTGCGTTTGAAGTCCATTTTGGCTTGACGAGCCGCCGCTCACGCTCGAGACTATGAGGGGCACAATTCGACCGAATCTCTCGCAAGCATCGTGCATTTTGCGAATCATATGGGAGCTCGCCGCGCTTGGCGCCAGCACCGAGACTGCCGAAGACAGGAGCGGCAAGTCGGTACCGGACGATGTGGCGATGGCATTGCCGGCGAGGACGAGGTATGACACAAATGGTGCCATGGACAGGATCCTACATCACGGTATCAGCGGTAGAACAACTCTTCCTCTATACAGAAACATACAAGTTCAGCATATTACCCCAGCCCGCGGGACATGATTCCAGCATCTTCTCGCCAGCGTTCACAAGTTTCGTCAGTGCCACGCGAGCCGTGTCTACACATTCATCGGAGCATTGCAGTGGGTGAGGCGACATTGAAGTCGGCGGCAGCATCCGATACACACTCGTGAGCAGGGAATATATCTCGATGTCCAGCAAGATCGCGATAGCTTGGTACATCTCGTCCCAAGTAGGATCGTCGGATTTTGCCTGCATGAGGTAGGTCAGCAACAAGTCCGGGAGCATGTCATGCAAGGTTCGTACAGATGCTACTGTCTCGTGGAGGCCCAACAACCGGGCTGCGAGTTCCCCCACATGCTTTTCGACTTCCTGCTGCGACGCATGTTGCGTTGAGGCCGAAAAGAGCTTCCGCTGGATTTCTCCAGTGACGACAGCGAAGTCAAGAAAAGCTTTATACAGTCTCCGCGACATCAGCAGGCATGAAGAAGTTTTCCGTTCTGAAGGAGCAACTCACTTGCTAAGAACACTGTTGATAGGGTCTTTACGAAACCCTTCTGGGGCGGCCGGGTAGACCGTCGATACGTCGTAATGATGTATCACAGGCGTTCGGCCACACGTCATAGCTAGTCCCTTCTCCCACGAGTAGATATGCCAGAAGACGCGGCGTTTCTGAGCATCTTCTTGGCTATTTCTATGGCTTAGCAATCGATGGAAGCCCAGATCCAGACACGCTCTTGCGGCGGCGCTTATCAATCTCCAGGCTATCGTATTGTGCCCTTCCTTGATGTAGAAGACTCCCTTCTAGACGTCAGAGCAACGCTTTACACTTCAGGAACCACCACACTTACAAGAAGCGACAGAGCGCGGCAGGATTCTACCGAAGGTTCTGAACAGAGGCGGAGACTCTGCATTGCCGCTTCAGCATTCGTTTTCAGTACTTTGCCGTGCGAGCACATCGCCTCGGTGGTCGTATCCATGCGAATACAACAGGCTTCGTTGACTCCCAGGAAGAGGTAATAAAGCCCGATGTTTACGTCTATCCATGTCCAAAGCGACACTGGTTCCGTTGCAAAATAGACAGCCCTACACATATCAACGAACTCGTCTTCCTGAAATGTCGGGATATCGACGAAGAACCGTTGCTTCTCAATCTTGGCCAGGCGAAGAAGCTTGAGAACGATATCTAGCGGTGGCAGTGGCATATCGGCAGGCTCTAGCTCGAACGATTGGGCGGCGAACCCGGGGCTGGCAGTCCTACCCGAGGCAGAAATGTTAGCCGTACCTACGTTGCGAAGTGGCTCGTTAGTCTCCTGCGGTGGGACTTGTAGTGTTGCGCCGGGAGGTTGCACGTGAATGAGCTGCGAAATTGAAAATGTGGCCTCCAGGGTGTTCTCAACCCGGCGAGCGTGCGACTGGAACGATGGATCACCATTGTATCCCTCATGCACACTTGACAGACTGGGTACCTGCTCGTCAATCATTGACCGCGGTGTATGCTGTGCATGATCTGAAATCCCCGGCGACCGCGGTGCAGTGTCCTTGGTCGACATGAAGGTTTGCAACATCTCTTTGATGTCGCCAATCTGACGGCCTGTTTCCAGAACCGCCTCGTCATATTTTGACGATAGGAGCACACGCTGCCGTTTCTCCGCCGCTCGGCGTGTAGTCCGGCAAGCGACCTTGAGAGTCACGCAGCTCGCGCATGGCGACCGTCTATCGCACTTGGTCTGTCCAAAGTTTAGCAAAGGCCAACATGATTACTTACCTAGGTAGGTAGCCAGGCAACTCGCCCACCTATCTTACTTACCTTTCGGGTTCTGCAATTATCGCACTGGTTCGCATTAACTTCAGCATCAGTTTTGATCGATAGGCTTGTGCCACCTGGCCTCGAAAGGGGATTCTCACCGCCTGCCTTCGTTCTAATGGAAGACTTTGGTCTGCTTCGCTCATTCTACCTATTTGGAACAATGCAAGAAGAGACGGCTACGGTACATGCATTTGAAAGACTCGTGGATTGAGCTTGCTGAGCTGGCACCCCATTTCCAGTCCAAATGGCCAAGACTTACTTCATCGGGCCCCGAGGCCGCCGATGGAGTCGTCTACGTTCCACGGGTCAAAGTGAGGTACCTTGGTACGTACCTATGCGAGAACGCGGGTAATCGGCAATTCCCCGGATTCGTGTATTTACCCGACTAAGTGGCCAGATTGATGAATCAACCTCGATTGACACCAACTTCCAACTTCCAAGTGCCTGACAACAACCTACCTCAAAGCTGAGACGTGTCGTCATCCACATCGCCAACGGCTCACATAATAGGTCTCGCGACTTTCTTCGTTCCGATTGTCATCACAGTGCCAGAATGACTGACCCGTTAATCGTGAACGCAATCATAAACGAGTTGTTAGACACTGCCATCGCGGATGCCATCATGGCGGAGTCGTTCACGACTCTTGATGCCCTCCAGACCGAGCCTGCGACCGTAACTGCTGCACCTGTGCCCGAGACCATCCCGCCCTCGCTCGAAGCCCTCACCTCTTTCAAGTGGGATAATAAAGCTGCTGCACAAAAGGCGCGTTTCGATGCCTGTGAGGCCGCTGGCTTCGCAGCTACCGAAGCCGACGGGAGTCTGCGTTTGGAGGATTCAGGCGACAGTCGTGCGATGTTATAATCGAAGCATTGTATGGTGACATGTGCAAAGCCTACGATATGTACAGTACACACCGCTTTGCTTCATACCTTATGTAACTTCTCCAAGGAGTTGGGTCGCCACATTGGCAGGAATCGATGCGCCCCTGGCATCTACGTAAGTTAATAATATCTAAGGACTGTTCCACTTGGGAGTTCTCAGCTGAGTAGGTAGATCGTTGAGTGGTTTTGTAGACGTCATTTGTAATTTTGCAGTCAGCCGTGCCGCACACGCGTCCAATATTGCTGCAGCCGAGGGATTTGGAGGGATTCGTCAAATTTCGGAGGACCGTCGCCCGTGGGGACGATCGACCAACACCCCTTTCGGCTGCCACGCGGAGTCATCTCGTTTCAGTTAGACACTGCGACAGTAACGAAAAAAGGCGGCAGCCGAAAAAGCCACACACCAGTGACACCACAGTCGCCGGACAAACCGTGGATCTGGTCAGCAAGTGATGATTGTGTGATTCGTTCGGTACGGCGATTGTGCCTGGCTGCCCTGCCTTGCCCTGCCTGCGCAGGTTATGCATATGGCGTTGTTTCATTTTTAACGCCTGTGCTGGTAGCCGAAGCGCCCGGGCGTGCGTGTTTGTGATAACCTGCTCTAAACGGAAAGGCTACAGTAAGGAGTCAATGCTACACAGTATGGTGACAAACTGCGGCGAGCTTCCTGCACTCTGAGGAGGGACGATCTTGGTGGGTTTTGGGTTGAGGACAGGGAATAAAAGACAGGGTGAGGCTCCGGGGCTAAAAGGTGCCGGCCAAGCCGATGGAAGCGGGCGGAGTGTGCTGCCACCGCCTATCTAGTATCCACAACGACAAAAGCTTTGACAGCCTCCAAGTTGAGATAACTTTCGGATATACCTTGGTAGGGGATGGTCACGGACTCACAGTCATCTGATAAACGTCCGAACCTTCGCAGTTGTCAGAGTCACTTCTAGAACAGCGCTTGCGATTCTTTCGAGGCCGATCATCAATGTCCGGCGTGCTTGACACGAGGTTCGTGTCATTTTAACATTTAAGCTCGGCTAGGCCGCCTGTACTATAATAGTTTTTAGTATTTTGACGCGATGGGAATAGTAACGTGCACAGCCGTCTATATATATAGCTTAACACGGAAGACTGGCGCTTTTTTACAGTCTAACTAGCTATTTGCTCATTTATATTAAGTAAGTTTAGAGTTAACAAACCTAACCTTTCCTTAAGACATGTTGCATGCCCGGCCGACCGAGTCGTATAAAAACGCTATAAATCATATCTGCCGGGAAAATGAAATGCTACGGCACGTCCTTCCAGATGTCGGCATTACGCTATCGTCAAGAGATTTACAAACGACATGTCGGTAAAGATAAATAATCGGTCTGCGCGTCATTCTTTGAGCAATCTTCCTCGACATTTTCGAAAATCTGTTCAATATGGACCAATTAAAAAAGCCTCCCGGACAATAAACTATGTGATTTATTAGGCACATTGCGACGGTTAATCTATTAGTCGTAAATGTTGCCGCAAATAAAGTGCAGCAGCCAAGAAAAACCCCCCGTAAGATGGGCCCGCGCCGCGATAATTCGAGATTAACGCATGCGCGAGTAAATTTGATAAATTCCAGGGCTAGGGACACCATCGTCAGGACGGTTAGAGGCCTGGCCTCGTCGATGAGCAGTTATAAACGAAGGAAAATAGGATGCGTGGTCTCGTTCCCTGGCGAGGCTGGAAGTCTCAGCAGAAACAACCTTAGGTCAGTCTGTCTGTTGGCCTCTGTTCAATGTTGTCTTATCTCCAGACTTGGCTGTCTAGACTCCATGTCTGTGCCGCCCCTCCCCAGCCGCAAACCTTGCTTGTACTAGTACGCTTCCCGCATATGCGGGCGCAATGTTCTTTTACACTGTGAGGATCCCCTAAATGGTGCCTATCACGCCTCTTAGCTATTGCTGTGCTCTAAGTAGTTCCCAGCCACAGGAGTCAAGGTACACGAAGGCATGAACTCAAACCTTGAATCGTATGCCATTTAAAAGGAAGATTTATTTATCCTGTATATTTATACACGCATACTCGAATGATATCGTCGATAGCAACAGGACCTCTGCGCAAACAAAGCCATAGATAGCATAGACACAATAAAACGTGGGCCATATGCCGCCATAGTCCAAAAAAGCTAGATCTGGACCTCAGACGACAACGTTTATGCCCACAATTCCAATCCTACGCGGGAACGGCGGGTGTGATTCACTGATTTGGATTGATTGACAGATGAAGTGTTCACTGTGGCTCAGCAGGCACTACCTAGGCTGCCTAGGTGCAGGCGTGGACCAAGTTTGCTATCTTCTTAACTCCTCGACTGCGACGAAGCCACACGAACCTGGGTCCATTTCCCTTCAACACAGCGCTCCCCCAGCAATAAAAGAGTCTTTCCGGAAACAACAGTTCGACACAGCCTGACGCGACAACATACAAGAGATAAGACAAGATTGTACATGCGTAGAGTGAGATACACGGTTGTTCCGGCCCATAATCTCGTTCCGGCCCGCCGTCCACTTCTGTTGAATGGGAGCCGGAAATAGACACCGGAAGATCTCCAGTGGGCAGAGACGCACAGGGCATCTGACCCACCAAGAAGACAGATGATCAATCTCTGTACACTGAAGAAGCAGAGCAGAACAAGAACAACAACAGAAGACACTTGAGAACCTGAACAATCTGAACTCGCCTGCATTTGACAACTTCCTACCCATGGTCAAATCTTTGCTTATGATCAAGTTTCGGCTCTTGATTGTTAGGAACCAACAAGATCGCATCTAACAAATGTAAATGGTGCTTGCGCCAGACCGTTCTGCTCTGTCGGGTCCAACAGTCGGCCCAAAAGGTGTCACTGTCACGGTGATTAATTCGAAATATCACCGTCTTCACTTAAGACGCTGATTTCGATAAAAACAAAGCTATGAAGGTACTATTGCGCAACCGGCTAATACGAATATATTTAAAGCAACGGGATAACTATTCGCTTATTCGACACGCTAGGTTTTAGTAAAAGCAGCGAGTTGTTATAGACCAACAAACGACACAGCCTATGACAGGGCCAGAAGACGCGGCCAGGAAGAGAGGCCAACCAACGGAGGGAGCAGAGCACGGACCAAGGAACACTAATCACGTGATCAATGGAACCCGGGTCATGTGACCAGGGATTTGGATCACTGGATCACCTCGACGATCCAGTTGGCTCACCCTGGATCACTGATCCAGGGTGAGCCACCTCATCAGTGAGGGAGAGATTGGATATATAAGGATGGACATTTCCTAGCTAGACAGATAGACAGTCTCTACCTCAGTGATCAATCTAAGTATCTCAGCCAACCCTAAGGTGGGAGAAATCTCCCGACGACTCGACTATTCAGTGAACCCCGGTTCAGACCAAGCCCCAAGATCTGAGTGTCTTCTAGTTGACAGAAGCCTCTATCGTCCTTTGTGTTGACTTACCTTAGAACATAAACCCTATAGAACCCTTTAGCCTTATAGGTTAGACGGCTCATCACACGAGTATAACGCATTTCGATAATAGGACAAAGGGACTTTATATTGTTTATAAGGGCAAGATGTGCCGAGGTTTTTAATGACTTAGGTCTTTTTATATGATCTAGTATAACGATATCAACAATGCGATATAAAGGAAGAAATAAGCGGACTAACGCAAAGAACACTTATTATTTATGTTTAAAGGAAAAGATCTTAGAAAGAAAGAAATAATTTTATTAACTAATAAATGTTACGACTTATGAACAAGCTAAAAAACGCTTTTTAAAAGCTAATAAGATTAAAGTTATATACAAAATAAAGGTAATCGCGAATTAAATAATATAAGTTACGTGATATATCACTGGTTTACAAAGTGAGCTAGCGAGTATTACAAGAAAAAGAAGTGAGCTACCCTTAAAATTATTAGATCACGAAGTAAGCCGGTGAGTGTTACTTTAAAAAAAGGTAATCCTATCTTATTAATAAGGAAAATATTAAATATATACATAATACATTTTCTAGTTCAATTGAATAAACAGTTAGTATCTGAGTGATTATTTAAGCATCTTAGCTAACCTTCAAGTAAGGAAAATCTCTTAATGACTCGACAATTTAATAAACCCTGGTTTAAACTCAGCCTTAATATTTAAGTGTCTTTTAATTAATAAAAGCCTTTATCGTCTTTTATAAGAACTTACCTTAAAATATAAACCTTATAAAACCCTTTAGCCTTATAGTTTAAACGGCTCGTTATATTATTAACAAGTGCTGTTTTAAATACTTTCCATTTTTATTATATATTTGTGAGAATATTGGTGCCTGTCAGGTGTGGCTACAGCTAGCAGCAGGCTATAAGGAGGTGAAAAGGATAAAAGGGACCCAAAGGGGGTGAAAGGGACCATTATAGCAGGTCTGTTGTCGGGTGTCAGGCAGCCGTGCTTCAAATGGATCCCACAGCTGTATTTAGGTAGGAATCTCCCCTATAGATCCATAGTTAAGATACCGACCATCAACCATCCCACTTCTGACCACTTTGACCCCGGGATTTCTACATATTTAGATAAATTAACTTTAATCGAATTTTATAACGCCTTTTATACGTTTCGTAATAAAGAGTCGCTGCTTGTTTTGCCGGGTTTAGCGGCACGCTCGATTTGGCATAGCGTCTTATCCACCCTATGCGACCTCGCGCACGTACATAGTCTAGCTAGCCACATCTTATAAGTATGGACGGCACCTCTTAACATTTCTTTATAAGTACTTTTTACATTCTTTTTTTTTTCACTTCCGCCCTTATTTTTATAGGCTTTTATTTTATAACTATTTAGTTTTATATTTCTAGTTATTATTTAAATGTGGGACGGTCCATGCGACCCGACCGTCAGTACATGTACCACCATAGAATATCAGCTGCCCCGCTTGATACTCAGACATCCTTTTGAAAGGTTGGCCGGCTCGCATAGTCGTTAGTGGGTTGAACCGTCACAAAATGTTCAACTTATAATTATTTTTAGAAACAACTTTAATTACATTAAGAATTTTCGAAGCTGTCTACCTCGACACCCACTTTAACGCGTATATAGTTGTTTTTATTACTTTAGCGATTAATTATTATCTCCTATCTACTAAAGGTTTAAAATGTCTAGGTAAAGGCTTGAAATCGCTTTTATACTGGTAATTGTTTTTTAATATTAAAATAAATACTTTTATTAAGATGGTATAGTTTAGTATTCCTTAATTTACTAATTGAAAAAGCTTATAAAATAAGTATATTGCTTATAACAATTCAATAATGGAAAGCTTTAATACCGTTTGAAATAAACGAACTGTGACGGTTCAACTCACTAACGACTATGCGAGCCGGCCAACCTTCCAAAAGGATGTCTGAGTATCAAGCGTGGCAGATAATATTCTATGGTGGTACATGTACTGACGGTCCGGTCGTATGGACCGTAACACAAACTTAAAAAAGAAACTATTTACAAAATTGAATTAAATAATTAATGTGACGCTCCACCAGATGAAACACTTGTCAGGTCAGCTGATCACGTGTAGATTAGATAAGCGGGAGGAACGGAACCACCATATCTACTGCAGCCCTTGGCTGTACGCACACCTAGATTTCTTTTCCTCCCTAACGAGTTAATTTCGGAATACAACACCAGTATTCAGCACAACGCCGCAGGCATCGTGACGATTAAAAAAATTAAAAAAATTAAATAAAAAAACGTTATTTTAAAGCTCATAAAACAATTCAAGTCTTTTAAAAACTAGTGAATTATAGTTCTATTATTTATATAAGAGCATTAGGTTAGATAAAACCAAAAGAAGCTAAACAAAAGCCATCCTATTAGCTAAAAAAAACCCTGTTTTACACGACGTTTAACGTGATTTTTATTAATAACTATTGAAATCGTAGCATTAGGTGCTAACTTAAAGCTAAACTTCCGCAATATAATAGCGAGTGAATTATAAAAAAGAAATAACAAGCATTATGAAGGAAAAAAGTTTAAGTTACGCATTATTAAATAAAGGTAAGTGGTGATAATGACAAGATAATTTACACAGAGAGATTATAATATATCCGCTTCAAGCTTAGATTTTGAAGATAAAAAAAAACCTAATGATGCCGAAACTATTTTTCACGACTAATATAACTTACAGCTTATTGCCAAACAAATAAAGAAAGATAAATAAGCTTTAATTCAAATGCTTTATAAAAAAATTGTAGTTAATATATAGACTATTAGTTAAAAAATTCAATGTTGTATCATTAAAAGATATCGTAATAAAATAAGCAATAATTTTATCACACACTGTTTTGAGAAAGTACCTAACTTATTAACGTTATAATAATGTAGAAGCAAACTATCGAAAGTTAAATGAAACACTAAACACCTGAAAATGAATATTTTATTACATTTATATGAAATAAACACTTGGAACAAATATAGTAAATTGCTTAAAATATAATAATAATTAAAAACTAACCCATAAGTAATAATGAGAAGTTAGTTATTATTAGTATTAGATTACTTTTTAAAGAAGGAAATTTAAACTTCATTATAAGATTTTTCCTTTATATTAAAAACGATGGTATTACGTACGACGCTACTTTGATAGTAATGAATGGTTTTACGAAAATAACTTGATTCTTATTAATAATACAGACGTCCAACGTAATACAATTAATGTAAACACTTTGTAAATAAATTAAGTACATGTTTAACTTGTTAAAAACTATCGTATTAAATAAATGTAAATTAACTAGTAGTAAATAAAAAAGAAGATTCATAGCAAGAAGGAAGTTAAATACTATTTGTTCAACACATAGTACTTATAAACGGATGATTAAATTACGTAAATATGTTAAATCTTTATATTTTCTTTAATATATATCGATTGATTATTGGAAAAGAAAACATGAAGTAAAGTTTCTATATATCAATCTTCTTTTCCACGATTGAATGCTTTTCGTTCAAAACTGTGGGAACAGGCTTGATCGATCAATCATAATACTCGAGTATAGGGTAAAAGTCATGATGTTGCTCATGGGTTGATTGGGAGGTCTAGCTGGACCTGAAGGTCTGGCTAAGTAACCTCGCAATCCGGTATCTAATCTCTTATCTAATCATACATGTGGGTCCTAGTATAGACGATTTGCAGGCTGGAATCGCATGGATCCAACAAAAATATATTTAATATACATACTTTACTAATAATTTTTATTCAAAATGCGTAAAATGGAAGTAACATTTACGCGTTGTTTTTTTTTTTTTCGCGATTTTATCCCTTGCACCCCTGAGGCTGCCACATATCTCGGCTATCTTGATTTAAAGCTCTCTACCTAGACGTAAGAGGCAAAACCATGGAGTCGATATTTGCTGATGTGGTCGAAGGCAAGCCGAGTGGTTGGTGGCCGTCGAGCTTCATGGCGGCTCAGTCGTAGGCTCGGCACCTACCAGCAGTGTCTAAGCGGAAGGACGCTATTGTTGCATCGTTACCGACAGCATAGGAGACCGGCCAACGTTGAGAATACCTATCCTAGAAGCTGAACATCGTACATACTCAACGACAGGGCTCTGGCTAGCGCCGACGTGAACCGACCACGGGCTTCTCGAGTGCATAGCAGGTGGAGAACTAGGACACATTGCCCAGCTCGGCTGCAATCACGACGAACATGAAAGGCTGTGATAGGAGCTTCGGTGGCGTAGTAGCACTCATGAGTTAGAAGTTAAACTATTTTCCACAGAGAATACCTAGTACCATTGGTCCCTTAGACCTCATTTAATGATTTGCACTTAACCACTGGGTTTCTGTTTTGACGTCTCGAAGTGAACTGTGGCCACTTGCATATGAACTGACTGCCTTTAGAACGCACTGATATCCAATCCAGCATTGAAGTCTCGGCGAAAGATCATCGAGAAAGATAATAGCAGGCCACATTCTTGAAATACGGGAGTAGGGCACAACCAAGATCGAGAAGAAGCGAGAGAAAGAAAAGATTGTGAGTAGGGCTTTCGGCTTTTCTGACGTTACCAAGCTTATTTAACCCCTGGATAGTCAGCTGTGAACTCGAGCTCTGAAGTCGAGCCATCTAACTAGGTCGTTGACAGTGCCCCGCTTTTCTATTATAGTATCGGGACCCTAGGCTCCCGATGCCTGTCCTGTTCTGTAAATGGACGCCTCCGGAGGCGATGGGAACGTCGGACAAGAATGTCGCGACTCTCCGGAGGTTCGTAGGTTGAGAAGGGATTGGGAAGATAGGTTGATGCTAAATTCGCATGTGCAATGGGTTTCTAGGTAGGTATAAAGGGGTATATCTGCTCCCGCTGGTTCACGATGTCAACTCATTCATTGCCTTACCCACTTCACTCTTTCAAAACCCCATCAAAGATATCACCATATTTCCTAGAGTTATTTCTCCTATGGATACTTCTTCACTGTCGTTGAAATTTCCTGCCGCCCTGTTTACTCCACCAACACTCGTCATGATGAAATCGTATATCATCGTTGCCGCTGCAGCTCTCACCAGCGTGGCAGCAGCAACCGAAGGGGCACCAGCGGCACCCTCACTTATGTACGGAAATACTAGCCACTTACTAGGGGCCAATAGCAGTGGAATCCCCCCTGTAAGTATATGCTACGAACCTCATCACACATCACCGACACGTAGCATCGTAGCTCACCACCTAGTAGTGCGATGCCCTAACCGACGCCGGCCTCGGCGACCGCCTGCTGTTCGCCACGGACGCGGATTACGAGCCTCAGATCGCGACCTGGTGGGCCGAGAACGCTCGCAAGCGACCATACTGTCTGGTCATGCCGCAGAGCAGCGAGGAGGTGTCCACGGCACTGACGGCACTTGTCAACGTCAACGATGGCGCGGGCGACTGGCATATCGCGGTGCGCAGCGGGGGCCACAGCTCAACCGGCTCCAGCAGCATCGCCAACGGTGTGATCATTGACCTGAGCAACATGAACACGTCAACCTACGATGCCGAAGCCAACGTTGCGAAGATCCAGCCCGGCGCGCGGTGGAATAAGGCCTACGCAGAGCTGGACAAGGAAGGTGTGACTGTCGCGGGTGGCCGGGACGGCGGTGTCGGCGTGGGCGGGTTTCTCCTCGGCGGCGGCATCTCGTACTACTCGGGGCGGATGGGTTTCGGCTGTGACACGGTGGTCAATTTTGAGGTGGTCCTCGCCGATGGCGCTATCGTCAACGCCAACGAAACGGCCAACGCGGACTTGTGGCGTGCCCTCAAAGGCGGCGGCAGCAACTTCGGTATCGTGACGAGATACGACATGGAGGCGATCCCCGCACAGGACTTGTACTACGACTCGCGCTTGCTGAGCTCCGTCTATTCGGATGCCGTGGTCGACGCGGCCGTTGGGTTCGCCGACCAAGATCAGTCGCTCGCCGACAACCACCTCATTACCTTCTTCTCCCACGACACTTCGACCAGTCCGGATATTCACGCCGCCACGATTTACGTCAACACTCAAGGCAATGGAAGTGTCGAAACAGCGTTCGACAAAGTCCAAGACCTCCCCGCCTTGTATAACACTACAGTTGTCCAGAGCATGGCGGAGGCTGCTAATGGATCACAGGTCGCCGCTGGCTCTAGGTATGTTATTCCTCAATCTGCCCAGTCGTTTGGTTTCCTCTGCTAATCGAGCGCAGAGCGGCCGGGGCGACCTTACTCTTCCGCAGCGACCCGCAGATTCTCCGCCGCGCTGCTGAAATCCACGCCGAATTCGTCGAGTCGCTCAAGGGATTCATGACCGCGGACGAGTTCGTGACGATGTGGTTTTTTCAGCCCATACCGTCTTACATGAGCGCCATCAGCCAACAGAGAGGGGGGGATATGCTTGGATTAGACGAGGTCCGTCAGAACGCCATTATGTGGACGGGTGGTGCCTGGGTGAACACGGACGACGCGGCGTTCGCGAGGGCGCAGGCTGAGTTGGGCAAAGCGACGGCCAGGGTCAAAGAGGCTTCGAGGTCCATGAACGGGGATATCGACTTCATCTACCTCAACTATGCGGATGCCAGCCAGGACTCCCTGGGAAGCTATGGACCCGCGAATGTCGAGCACATGCGAGAGGTGGCGGCTAGGTATGATCCGACAGAAGTTTTCCAGCTGCGAGTCCCTGGGGGCTTCAAGATCTCGAGCGTGGCTTGATTCAACACCCGCAGAAGAATATGTCCCATTCTTTTTGGTGATGGTAACGATAAGTTCTATCACATTCTTCTAGTTCGCACAACTACCATTGCCACGACTTATTATTGCCTATTTAATTGAAGGATACTTATCATAGCATATAACTCCCATCATTCGTGTTGCAGCATAGGCAGATAGCGACACCAAGGACTAACCAAAACGTACCATGTTACATTAATTATGCCTAACAGACCACCAATGTCACCGAAGTCTCCACGGACCAGACACCTAGTATGGGACGGATGAGAGCGATCCCCCATTCGATGTACAGCGATATTCGACCATAGCAGAGGAGTTTGTTTGTTTTGTTTGTTTTGTTTGTTTGTTTTGTATTTAACGTGGGGGGTAGCTCCTTAGTAGTGCAGACCACGCCTCCCAGAGCCTCTGCATCGCAGGGTTGTGGAGGTCTCAAGAAAATAAGTACAGTCAGTTCCGCTCACGGGCCCATCCCCGTTGTTGCGGCGGTATGACCTTGGGGTCATCCATCTGGTCCTTCAAGAACAGCTATCTATCGGAGACAGATTGTTTAGGGTTAGGGTTAGGAACGAGCGTGAAGCGCGAGTGAGCAGCGTTGAATTCTGAGAGCAAAGGAGTCCAACTACCGTCGTGACAGTAGTTTTGCCTATGGCTCTTCAGGGACTTTGTATAGCGAAATTCTTTTGATATATATTATCAGAAGAAAGGTACATACACGGAGATAGGAGATATCGCGCTTCGGCTTTTAGAACTTGATTTCTAATATCGGTTAGGGTTAGGGTTAGGGTTAGGGTTAGGGTTAGGGTTAGGGTTAGGGTTAGGGTTAGGGTTAGGGTTAGGGTTAGGGTTAGGGTTAGGGTTAGGGTTAGGGTTAGGGTTAGGGTTAGGGTTAGGGTTAGGGTTAGGGTTAGGGTTAGGGTTAGGGTTAGGGTTAGGGTTAGGGTTAGGGTTAGGGTTAGGGTTAGGGTTAGGGTTAGGGTTAGGGTTAGGGTTAGGGTTAGGGT